GTTTGGTACAGATTCTCATTTTCAACCACACATTCTTTAATAAAATAATATTTTCCATCACATCAATACTTTTTTCTTCTTTTTCAACCACACATTTCCCATCATATCACTATTCAAAAATCAATTCTTTCCCAAAAAATCCCTACCAAACGGGCTCCTGGTTTAGGGTTGGACAAAACTCTCGAACCGAATCGAATTGAACTGGATATGAACCGAACTATTTTTATTAAATAAAATACTCGAACAAGTATCTAAATCGAGAATCGACATACTTGGTTTGGTTCTCTATTCTAGATCTAGAACCGAAAAATCGAATAAAAACTGAATCTCCATAATTTTTTAAATTTTTTATCTTATATAAGTCAAATTATTTAATTTTTTTAAATAAATTTGTTAACTAATTAATTTAGTCCAAACTCAAAATANTTTTAAATAAATCAAATTATTTTTTTTTTTTCTATATAAATTTTAACCAATTGTTTTAGTCCAAACTCAAAATATGATTTTAATATTTCTAATTTCCAATCCGACCAACTTAATCAAATTGACCTAACTCGTCATCTTTTTCTTCCTTTGAGTTTAACAGTCAAATTTATAAAAAACTAAAGAGAGTAGCCAAAAATATCACGAGATTAGACTACGTTATTTTGTAAGAGTTAAGATTAAACATATAATAGTCGAATTAATGTAACGTTGTTGTAAATATTTAAAAAAATTAATTATTGTAAAGAAACTTGGGAACCGAACTGAAAGTTGAACGGTTCCATAATTAAATTTGGACCAGACGATTTCATTTATTAAATACGTAAAAGTTCGAATTCGGTTCAATTCTCTTTAGAGCCAAACCGAATCGGACCACGTCTAGGCCTAATTTGGTAGAAAGAATTTTGACACGATCATATCTCAACACATCCTATGTATGTATACCAATCTGTAAATAATGATGTACATATAGCACAATTGTGACCCATAAGCCATAAAACTATGGGTTGTACTACATGTACATCACAACGTATCAATTAGTTTACCAACAGATGTAGTGAGATTTGATTTGGCTAAAATCTCATCAATTAAAAAAAAATCTCCAGTATCAGTTAGTTTACCAACATATGTAGTGAATTTGCTAATACATAACTATTTGCACGAAGTTTGTCGATAATATGTAATGTGGAACAAGAATTAAGAAAAACAAAATGCTCATCGAATATTTAGGTCAGACGATTGTTTCTTGATGTCTTTATATGTCTTGAAAGAAAAATAATCGAAAATTAATTGTATTTTCTAGATCAAAAATTCAAATGCTCAAAATTTTCCTGATGATAGGAATGCTCATTCACCGAGATATGGAGTTCACCAATGACCTCGCACTCGGTGTCTTACCTATCTCTAAAGTTCCTTAATAAAGAGTTATTGAAAAAGTACTTTATTTGATCAGAGCGTGTCTTTAAGATGGTATTATTTGTTTAAGAACAATGGTAGATGAGGAAAGTACAATTAAATAAAATTACCATTAAGAATAAATATCTATGACCCATAAATGTCTAAAACCACTGTTTATGACTCATCTTTTCCATGGACTAAAACAAGCCCTGCAAGCTTCATTAGACAGGTTGAGAAACACCTTCGCTCGAATACAAATCTATAAGTCATTTACAAATTCGTCAACAGATTCAAGCTTTTCAAGCCTACCAATTTGAGGCACATTGGAAGGGATCATATGCCAGTAACTTTACGTCCTTCACTGAATCATGCACGCCGAAGTAACCATCATTTCTTAAAGTTGATGAGCCTGAAAATAACCGTACATTTGAGGGAAATAGTTTTAGGCTATGTTTGGTACCAATTCTCATTTTCAACAGTAAATCAATTCTCATTTTCAACCACACATTCTTCAATAAAATAATATCTTCTATCACATCAATAATCTTATCTTCTTTTTCAATCACACATTTTCCATCATATCACTATTCAAAATCAATTCTTCCCCCAAAAAATCTCTACCAAACACACACTTAAATCATTTTAAAAATTATTTTCAATCACACATTCTATATGATTCGTAAATTTTCCTACTTTATAACTACATGCTCAAAAAAAAGTCATTTTTCAATTGAAATCAAAAAAATGCTAAATATAAACACCGTCATTAAGTTTCAATGATTCCACTGTCATTGCTACATTTGCACCATGCTTCATATAAATTGTGTGCGTAAAAGAAAGCAAGAAACAAGAAATTTGATTAGTGATGTTAGGGGCATGCAAGGATTTATGACGAAAATCGTTCACTAGGACTAACGATGCATCTATCCTAAAAGGTTGAGGATCAACTTCCTTTTTGTAGGTTTGAGAGCAACTCGCATCTCGGTAATAGGTTGAGGACCAACAGCATCAATCTTTCCTGTATTACATGCATCTTAAGCATGGAGAAAACAATAAAAAATCACAGGACTAAATGAAAGGAATAAGATTTACAACTTTCCACATATAAATTTATGAGCATAACTTACAGAAATTTACACTTCATTATAACACAAATCGCTGCAAAGAGTTCTGCTGCTTAAATATGTATCCAGAAAACAATGGTCACAAGACATAAGAACTACGTTTTTTTTTTTTTTCTTTTCAATAAATTAAAAGCTTTTTTTTCCCATTAATCAGAGAACTTACCAAAACTCAAGAGTTTACAAGAAGTAGCACCATTCTGAACATCGATACCAATTTTTCTGTTTCTTAATGAAATAGAGAGATTGTTTCTGTAAATGGTAATACTTTGACAGGGTCCATGACCATAAGCACCAATGCCCTTCTCAAAATCTCGTGCATCACTACAACTCTTCCTTCTGCCCAACTTTGGCGATCTAGCACGAGTTGGAGGTGGCTGACATTCAATGACATTATGACAATATGCTCAAGAACTCAGAAGTTTTCAGGAACATTGATAATGAAGCAAATCAATATAGTTTTTGTACTCAACCATGGTATCACATTCCTAACACTATATATGAATTCAGGAAATGGAAGTTTGTACAGAACTGCTCTTAACAATGGAAATATGAAACTGTTTTATGCTTCGACAGTGTATAATGTGAGCTCTTAAAACAGTTATGGTATCTTCTTGCAGGTAAAATACCAAGTCCATTGATTAGGGTGCATAGAAGTACTAGGACTATATGGATTATTTGAACTTCGAACCGAAATCTCAAACTTTCTCAAAGTATAATAGTTGCAGTAAGCGTCAAGTACCTTTTTCAGTTCAACTTTGGGTGGCGGTCCCTTGTGGTAGAAGCAGGGCATTGGACTTGCCTTAAACGACAAACCTTTTCTTAGTTGCTTGATAGCTGCTTGAACCTCTTCCTAAAAGTTTGAAGAAGGAAAACAAGCAAACCTTGCATGTGAAAAATGTCTTGCTATGAAGCAAATGGACAAAGACAATGAAGGAAATGGAAGAGGACAGAAAGTATTTTGTTATATCTTTTGGGTTGGATAAAGAAGCCAAATGAAGGAGAGTTGAATTTAACACACAGAATGTACTACTACCTTTGTCCTTGCATCACATTGAGTTTTCTCAGCCTCAATGGCTTGATGTTTCTCCTCTAATTTTGAATAAAACTGAAACATAAAAGAAATGGTCAAACGAAAAAATGGGGTTATGCATTATGATTCAGTGTTATATACATGACAACTTTGAATGGGGTTATGCATTGTGATTCAGTGTTATATACATGACAACTTTGACGTGTGAAAGATTGATTCAACACTACCTCCTTCCTTCTCTCTGCACGTGCATTGCATCTAGAAACAGGGGCTGATGCAAGAATTGTTTTGACCTTTCTTACTGATGCCACAGTTCTTCACATAGTTGAGGAAGCATTTTAATCAAATTAAGTTGAGGCATTAGAGAAGTGAAAGGTTCCATTAAAAGGGAAAGATTAAAATAAATATTGCACTCTAGGATAAATAGGATACGAAGAAGCAACCGAACGGTTATCTTCATCAGGACATTTCTTATTATCAGGTTGCAATGGCTTTCTCGATACCGTAAGTGAGACAAGCTGCACCTAAATCGAAATGCTACAGTCTTAGAAAGTTGATTGGCTGCTTAACCTACATTCATAAGTTCCTTCTCCATGCATCCCCTCAAAATTACGTTCCCCAGAATGAAGAAGTTTTATCATGCATGAAAAACAAGATATTCATTTTCTTTAGAAACAAAGAAAGCAAGGAGAGCTAATAAAAAGTCGAGGTGCTGGAAAAGATCGTCAATTATCATATCAAAGAGCAATTGCACTGTGCAAAATTATTTAAGATAAAAACAGGGAAAGAAAAAATGATGCTAATTGACTTCTTTTAATAAATAAGTTATTATGTCAAAGAGTAAGTAACAACAAAATCATATTCATTTGCCTATATAACACATATAAACTACCCATTACACGCAGAAATATCACAGAAATGTTTTGTTGCTATTAATGGAAACTGTATGACATAAAAAGATGTTCTTTGTAAAATATTGACGAGCAACAAGCATGCACATGACAGGAAAGTTACAATCAAAGCACAAAATTCTAAAGTTCGATGGAGGGTATGTACCACATTCTTCTTGGTAGCACTGGAGTGTGACAAACCCTTAACATGAGGGGATTTATTTGCAGCAGTGATATTGTCAACCTCATCTCATTAGTATGGGTTCCACATAACGCACGCTTTTCGGTTGCCAGAGCAAATGGCTGCAGAACAGTGCATTTTATTTTGCAGTTTCCAATAGCATATTTTCTAGTAGCTTTGCCAGAATGTCTTGACTGCTTACAGTCATCAGTTACTTTTTGACCTTCAGATTTTGGACCCTCCTTCTTCAAGTCAATCTCACTTGACATCTGTACATCTTGCTTTTCACATTTGCCAATTTCACAAAGTTTAGTAATCTCAACAGGCTTTTCAGTGTCACATTCCTTTATTTCATATTCCTTAATCACAGCCTTCTCTTTCATTGTATCGAGTTCAGGATCCAGATTAATATGTTCATGTGGTTGTACCTCATCTCGTGGACCGGTAATTTCGTGATTTGAAGCATGGGAAACACCACTTGCGACAATTATGACAGCATCTGGCTTCTTGTCCATATGAATGTCAATAAATTCTAGCCCTACTGGACTAAAATAAACTGAAGAAGTCCAGTCCCAGTGGAGTGGAATCAATGCTATAAATTAAAATTTAATTGCATCGTCACCCAAAATTAAAGAACCACGAGTAAGAAAAAGTTCCATTCAACAAGAAGTTCACTTTATTTCATGAGGATCCAAAACCTTTACAAGTTCAACCATCCTTAATCCTTGTGTTATCAGCATATATTCAAAAATCAATGACTAAAGGTGCCAAAAGTCGTTTGCCGACGATCTTCTTTTTCCAACTACATTATCATGTAAGTAATCAAAATAAACATTTTTTCCGAGAGACAATAATGAACCGGAATATTAGGTGAAAGAAGGTAAAATATAAATTTTGGCACCCAATGATGCAACTGAAAGGAAATCTATACGGTTACTGAAAAGAATGAATAGACAGAATCATAATGCTTCCCAACTAGGGGAATAGAATAATATTATAAATAATAATAATTTAAAAAAAAAAACTTTGGCAGGTGTGAATGTTCACCATTAATCCTTATATGTAAAATCCTGGAAATTAGGATTATTTAGTAATTTAATAGTAAAAGGAGAGAATAAAATCTCTTCTACAAAGCTTTTTGTTAATCAATACTTTACACAAAGAGGACAATAGCAATATGGCAGGGCTGAGAGCAAGCTACATTTTGACCTGACCTCAATTCCCCAATTCCAATAGGAAAAATTTAAATAGAAGGACAGAATAGAAATTTAAAAGTGAGTTTTATGTACTCTAATGAGAATAAATGATTTGCATGAATATGAAATTCATTCTTTAAACATCAATTCATTAAAACCAATATAATTGCGAATTTATCATAAAGTAAATATTCCTAATTAGCTTTTGTTATTTCCACATTTCAAATTTATCAAATCGTTAACACCTGGAGAAAAAAATTAAAAAAAAATCCATAGAATTCATGTCCAAATAAAAGAACGCAAACTAACACCAATTACAATGTAGTCAGATCTGTTTAAATTAAAATGTGCAATCAAAGAAAAATATTGAAAAGAAGAAACATCAAAATGTAACTATCTACATGCGATCATGATTCATGTACGTACAAATGGATACAAAGATTATAAAATGCGGAAATGTGAGAGATGTTTTCTTACAATTAATTTGATGTTCTGATCTTTTCTTGTTTTGTTTTCTGGGAATTACGCCTTACTGAGGTGTTTCTTCAACTCTGTGAGTGAGAGAATTGTCTTCTATTGCGGTCTGCAGATAGTTTATACAGGGGGTGGTGTTATGCCTGTTGGCTTGAAAATATGGAATAAACTAGCGGCGTTCTTTGACGGCGTTTGAGAATTTTGAATAACGGCGTGGTTTAACTGACGGAGGGGGACTAGAAAATGAACTTTTCAGGCTTACTCCCCAATCTATTGTATGAGTTGTATGTTGGTATAAAACTTAAAAGGAAGCAAGTTGGGATTTTCTGTTTCATTAGTCTCAGTGGATATTTCCCGTTGATTTTTCTTTCAAAATGTGCATGTTTGGATTTTCTTGACTTATAATTTAAAGTAATTTTAAAAGTAGTTTATAATCGATTTAGGGTTGTGCTAGTGGTACATCACACTCTACGTAAGGGAATCCATAATGGACACTCTTATGTAGAGTGTGATGTACACTTAGCATTGTTCATCGATTTATGTTATAAATAGATAAAAATGAGCAGTACTTGTAAATCCTATAAAATGTACAGATAAAAAATGATTTGATCTCATCAAACAAACGCTTAAATTTATTAGTCCAAGAGATGTATCATTTTACTTAGGATTACTATAACATAAATTTGCATTATTGCACACATTATGGTAGATTTTTTTAGCCTTGATTTGGTTTAACTAAAAATCAATTTTTTAGTAAATTTTAATAAAAGTTGACGGAATACGTGATTAATAAATTATGGATCTCATGAAATGTGTAGTTAAAATTAATTGTTCAAACTTTAAATTAAATTTTTATCAATTTTTTTAGGTGAACCAAATGGTCGAGTTTGGAATTATTTGGTTCTTAGACAAATTTCTTAATATTTGATAAGCTTGAAAGAGAAACGAGTGATGATTCTGTCATTTATCACGTCTAATATGATACATCAAACGTCTCACTAAAGTTCTGAAAATCGAATTTTTATTTTTGGTGATAAAGAAAAGTATGTGCTTTACAGCTAATGCCAATTTTGCACTCTAACTAAAAGGTGTTAGATTATCACAAAGATGTTTATGTCACAACTGTCCACAAATTTCGATTAGAGACTTGATAATTGCTTTTGGCCCCATCTTTGATTACTCTTTCTAACCCTTTTGATAAACCACCTATACCTTTTTTTTTTCTTTTTTTAAATTTTCAACTCATAGTCCACTCCAGCCAAATTATACTTTTTGATAAAACTATGATAAATTTTAAGGGCTACACTAAACAATTTTACTTAAATGTTAAAATGATAGCACAACCACCGCAATCGCACCAGCACCGCCGTCAACACCACCTAAAAAAAACCACTTCCACCTGCAAAAACCATCCACAAAACCTATCCCAAGTCACTGCACAACCATCGGCACCACACCGTCACCCCACAACCATACTAACACTCAAACCCACCAGCACCGAGCCAAAGTTTGCTGATAAACCACAACAGCCATCTTCAAAAAATGAATCTCACTATAAAGTACTAATTGTAAGTCTAAAACTCATCACACTGATCATCTAAACAAAAACAGAGCAACAATAAAATTTTCTTATAAATCAAATTTTTATGTTTCAATCAATATTCATCTGCAAGGTTAAGGAATGAACAATCAGACGAAGGCATTAGAGAGTACCACTGCACCACTGCTTCACCCACTGTCACTGCTTGATGTCGTCGATTGGGGTGAGCTTTAGTCCGATGAGAGCACCGTCGCCGCCCGCTATGGTCTCCGTCGAGAAGAGAGGTGACAGAGGCGATAGGAAGTGGGGTGACGGGAGAAACGAGAGAGAGTGTGTGATATTTGATTTCTAGGGTTTTTTTGGTGAAATTTGTATATAATATTTAATATTTAAAATATCAAATACCTGATTTTTGAACAATAAAACATTTACCCTGATTTTTGAACATGGAACTTGAAAGATAGGGTTCCATGTAATTTCCTCTAGTCTAAATGTACACAATGCTTTACCAAATAAATTACACCCTCTCACATGGAGGGGGGCCCACATACAATAAAATGTTCATTGAGCTAAGCCAGCCCACAAGCCATACTAAAAGTTTGTTTGGTAGGGATTTTTTGGGGAAAAATTGATTTTTGAATAGTAATATGATTGGAAATGTATGGTTGAAAAAGAAGAAAATATTATTTTATTGAAGATTGTGTGGTTAAAAATGAGAATTGATTTACTGTAGAATCAAAAAATCCCTAACAAACACCCCCTAACTTTTATTCTCTTATAAAATATAATTTTCGAATCCATTCCCCTATTTTGGGACTAAAGATTAGCTAAGTTTAATATAGGCGGAGTTAAAATTATACACGAACAAGTTATTACATGCACAAATTTTTTAGACGGTGAATAGAGTTAAAGAAAATAACAAATTATGGTGAACTCACAATTATTTTACGTGGTTAGACAGTTTTTGACGTTTATCTTAAAGTCGGAATTCCATGTCTTTTATGTCATTTAAACACATTAAGCTCTGTAATATGTCTTATTTGAATATTAATTTGTATTTAGACAAAACCCTATACTCTACACTAAATACAAACTCGGATGCTACAGTATTAATCGAAGGTGTTAGTTGATCACATGATATAAGAAAAACAATTGGATATTCTTCAAAATAAAGTAAATCTAAACATTTTGCATCTTTCGGCACTAACATTGTAAGCATGTCGTGAGTTAAATAGCTAGCTAATTCTAATAGTATTCCAATGTAATTTGGTGGATAAGAAGACGTATCAGCGTATGTATTAATTTTTACCGTACTAACTATTGTTAATAATACTTACTTGGGGTCTTCACATCGATTTCTAGTTATAATGTATATTCGATTTACTTTGGTTGATAAGAAGGCGTATCAGCATATGTATTGATTTTTACTTTACTAACCATTGTTAATAATACTTACTCGAGGTCTTCGAAAACAATGTTGACTTCTAGTGACTACACATTATCGTTAGGCATTGGTACGAGCTGCCGGATATTTGAGTATACATTTCATATAAACAACTTCTCTATATTACAATATGTAATTGAAGTTTCAAAATTTGATGCATTTGCGATTTTTGTACTCTCTAAATCACATCTGGGGTCCATTATATAAGGTAAGACAAACAACATAGGTAATTCTTTTTTATACCTTCTAAAATTTGCTACAATATGATAAAAGTAAGCAAAAACTTAGGGACTAGTCTAGTAGAAAAAAAAAAAGCTTTCGAATTTTTCACTTAAAATATAATTTCAGTCATACTCTTGTAAATTATTTTCTAGGTCGTATGCACGTCGAGAGTTGTAAAAAGCAATAATAAGATGTTCGTAGCCTTTACAAGATTTAGTACAAGGAAAGTTGAATTCCATTGACAAATATTTTGGGTTTCATTTCAAGCTCTTTACTCTAAGGGTCCGTTTGATAGTAAGTGTGGAAAATAGATGGAAAGAAAATGAATTCCA